AAAAGGTGTTATTCTATTCATAAAGGATCTGCCCCTGTGACCCAAATACCTCCCACTAGGCCCCACCTCCCACACCACCACATTTGGAATGAAATTTCAACATGAGTGCTGGTGGGAACAAACGACATCCACATCACAGCATACACCCTCCCTGCGTGGCCACGCTGCTGTTCCCTGCCCCTCCCAGCTGCCATTGTGCCCTGCCCCTCAGGACCTGAGCCGACTTGGTGTCCTCTTTCCAGGGAATCAGTGCCTTGGCCCCCCCAAGAGCAGTCACAGCCCCATAGCACAGGAGTTGAAGCACTGCCCCACTTCACAGGGAATCAGTGTCTTGGCTGAGCTGAACAGCCACACCTGCCAGGGATCATCCAACATGGCACTCCCACATCCCAGGAAAATAGCATTGGCTGAACTGGGGTACCTTGCCCTTCAGGACAAACAACCGTAGAACCCTGGGAACTGGACTAGCCCTGGAGAATCTGAGTTGCCCCGGCACCTTCCTCCCGAGGGAGAGAAGTAGTTGATGTGCTGCTCCCTGTCCCTGAGGGCTCAAGCCATGACAGTGCTCCACCATTCTGGGGTCCTTGCTAATGCTGTGCCTGGCCTCAGAGGCTGGGATGCTGCTGTGTCCCACCACTCTAGGGTCCAGAGTCACTACCCTGTTACTCCCATGTCCAGAGTCACTCCCATTCCCTGGGAATTTACCTCTTAAACTCTTCCTAAAAATAGAGTGAGAAATAATTCCAAACACATTTTACCAGGCCAGTATCACCTTAATACCTAAACAAACCAAAACACACACACACACACACACACACACACACACACACACACACACGCACACACACGAAAAGACTACCAGTTTATTTTTCCAATAAATTAAACACTGGTGCAAAAATTCTAAAGAAAAAAAAATTAGGAAATAGAATTCAACAACACATCAAAAAGATTATACATCATGATTAAGTGGGGTTTATCCTTGGCATGCAAGGTTGGTTTCACATATGCAAATCAATCAATATGATATATCACAAAAACAAAATGAAAGATAAAATCACATGGTCACCTCAATTGATGCAGAAAAAGCATTTAACAAAGTTTGGCAACCTTTCTTGAAAAAAAGCTTTTAAGAGTTTATGTATAGAAAGAAGGTTCCTCAACATAATAAGGACCATTCATGAAAAACCCACAGCCTGCATCATAGTCAGTGGGGAGCAACTGAAAGCTTTTCCACTAAGATTGAGCACAAGATAGGGATGCACAGCCTCATCACTTCTATTCAACATAGTACTAGCAAGAGCAATCAAATGAGAAAAGAAAAAGGTAACTAAATTAAAGAAGCAAAATTGTCCCTATTTTCAGATGACAAGATCCTTAATGTAAAAAACTCCAAAGATTCCACAAACACTATGAGAACTACTAAATCAATTCAGTCAAGCTACAAGGTATAAACCCAACATGTAAAAATCAGTCAGATTTCTGTATAAATAACCTAGCTGACAAAGAAATCAAGAAAACAATCTCATTTACAAAAGCATCAAGGAAAACAAAAACTTAGGGAGAAATTTAACCAAGAAAGTGAAAGGTGTGTACACTTGAAAACCATAAAACACGGATGAAAAAAATTTAGATATAAGTGAATGGAAAGTTATCCTATGTTTATGGATCAGATAAATTAATATTGTTAAAATGTTCACACTACTTGAAACAAATATACAGATTTAACACATTCCTCATCAAAGTTCTGATGGCATTCTTCACAGAACGGAAACAAACAATCCTGACTCGACCTGGTGGCTCACACCTGTAATTCCACCACTTTGGGAGGCCGAGGCGGCCAGATCACAAAGTCGGCAATTGAGGACCAGCCTGGCCAACATAGTAAAACCCCGTCTTTACTAAAAATGCAAAAAGAAACCAGGACCTGTCTCCAAACAGCCATCTTAGGCTTCAAAGCTAGGCAGAAGCTGTAGGTCTCAAAGAAGGGCCTATGGAGATGGATAGATCTGCGAGAGGGATCAGAATCGGCTCCAGCCCCAGCCCCGGCCCCGGCCCCGGCACCCCCACAACCCGCGGACGTTGCTATCCGTAACTGTATTGATCCTTTTGCACTTTTGTGTGTGTGTGTGTGTGTGTGTGTGTAAACGGACCGCGTTGAGATTTAAAAGGAGGCGACAGAGGGACTTGCGATTGGTTATTGTCCGGGCTTCAAAAAACAAAACAAACCCACCAACACCCCCACCCCAAACAAAACAAGTGGTATTAAATTCAGGGCTGTCTGGTGAAAACGTAGTGATTCAAGAAGGCCTTGCTCAGTAACTCTTACCGATCGATCAGAAACAACCATAGATGCCTTAGGTATGTACAGATCTCTGTAGAATGGGTATTTATTTCAGTTAGGTTAAGGTTTTTTTAGATTGTTCACTTTCAGACAAGTGTGCCTCTGTTTTATCAGGTTTCTGAGGAGGATCAGTGGGGAGAAATTGTTGAAGAGCTCAACTTTCCCAGAAGTTGTTCTAACGTTGCCTTTGCTTTAAAACAGTATTACTTGTGGTGAGTAGTAGTGACTTTTCCATAGTATTTGGAAATAAGGGACTTATGGAGAGATTTGCTTTTAGCAAAAATAAAAGCAAACCTTGCACACCAAACAGTTCCTAAGCTCTTGCTCATTTCAGACTAAGACACATTTAATATAAATAAAGTGAGATTGTAGGAAGGTGAAAGTTTTTCTTACCAATTTTAGGATCGTTTACATTTTTCATACAAAATCATTACAGGTGACACCCCAGCCCCCATCTTGGTAAACATTCTTTTGTGACATTGTTATTGATCGGTTGATATCCACTGAATGGCAGAAAGGTGATGCTTAGTAAAAGAGTTAAGATAGTTAATGAAACTTTGTAATCTTTGGGAAAATTTTTTTCTTTGTTTTGGAAGCTTCTTTAGTTTAAAACATTCTGACTTTCAGATTTTATTTTTTAAATGAAACTTCTTGTTTGGAACAGTGTCATTGAATAGGTTTTTCAGTAGAATATGAATACATGGCATAATATGTTGGTGCCTTAGGTGACCAGGATTGTTTTGAGAATTACTTTTTGTTGAATTTCCAGTGACTTAAAAACGTTCAAAATGATTATTATATCTCTAGGAAAATGGGGATGCTATGGAGTGGGATACTATACTTTGGATTTTCTTTCATTCTCCCTCTTTTTTTTTTTTTTTTTGACTGCTTATTTGACAAAGTTCTTATTCTGTTGGTATGCGATACAGTCTAGACGTTATATTTTGCGATTTAGTGTTATTTTTTCGCTTCTAGTTTTTCTTCTAGGAATCCTTTCATATAATTTATCGTGAGGCTGTGTGTTATTTTTAATGCTTACTTTACAGGATTCTAAGCTAGTTGGTATTATTTAAAACTAAAATGATATTTTTTGTATTTATTGCTTTTCAATAGTGATACTACAGACCTTTTTTTGTAATGTGGCTTCTGCATAATTTGAGTTTTGCATTTATTATTGCTTCAGATGCATTCAGTTATCATGTGTTACATTCAACATTCTGATAGGAAATGCAATAATTGCACAGGTGTACTTTCTATTGGCTATTTTAGATTGACTTCAGGCTTTTAGCTGGAGTTCACAGAACTTTGTGGAGTAGTTATTGTGTAGTTATTGAGTTAAAGAGGAAGTCTAGAAAATATTGATATGGTTGGTTGTCATCTGTTGTGTGTGATGGCATTTGTGTCAGAGCACATTTTAAAATAAAGGGCTGAATCAGAAAACAAAACCAACCTCCAAAACTGCTGAGTTAGTAGTGGGGTGAGAAATGGAGAGTTTTATATTCATGGTGACATTCATTTGCTCATTTCCATTTATGATATTGAGAGGAACATATTAATACATATTCTGGTTTTATGATTTTATCAGTTTAAAATATTTGAGCTTTGGACTTTTAAAATACATATTTTTGGAGTTTTACTTCATATTTCTTAGATTGGTTGACTTAAATTTTATAATCAGAAAGGACTATAGAATATACATGGTTCGTGAGATGTATATTTTTCTGAAGAATTTACATTCATACTAATAGTTTTAGCATAATCAAAGTAATATCTAGGCTTCCAATTTTTTTTAACAAAAGCTGATTATAAATATTGTTTTTCCAGTTGTAATTTTTATCTTAGGAGCATATCATACGTTAATTATAGGTACTGTTTTTAACTGTATAGTTTCAACATTGTAAGTGTTTACATTCTCTTCAGATCAAATTGCGCTTTATGCTCTTCTTAGAAGCTGCTTTTTGAAGTATGTCCTTAGTTAAACTTGTTTTTCCTTCATATGCCACTCTCCAGGTTTGTTTTTGCAGGGTTGTAGCTAGGCTACTAGGAAAAAAGTTGAAGCATTTGTTTTGGAAAATAAAACCATGTGAAGATTTGCATGGCTTGTAAAGAAATACAAGAGAAATGTGCTGGTCAAAAATTGGGTACTACCAACCTTGAAAGAATTTTTCTCTGGTGGTCTAACATTGCACAGTGAGAGGATATATATCATGCTGCCTTTTACACCTTCCTTGAAAAATCTTAATTGGCAGACAAGATGCCAAGTAACAGTAATTCTGTTACTTACCCTTAAGATTGCCCCTTCATGGTAAGAAATAGTAGTCAAGTGACTTGTTAAGTTACCTCTTTGGTACATCAGATTGAGTATCATCATTAATGATAAGCAGATAATGCAGTGTGTTTTTTAAATGACAGGTGGAATAATTTTTTAATATGAGCTGCTTTTTCATTTGACCTATTGTAAGACTGCTATTAAGTGTGTTAGTTCTCTTTTACTCTACAAGTTTAATATTTGCTCACATTTCCCTGTAAATTTGCTATTAGTTGAATGGATGGCTGTTAGCCTAGTGTTTTATGATACATCTTCATAATATTACAGATATTTAAATTAGGAAGAGGAAGCTGGTATGCTGGCTATGTATATTCTAATAGTGTTGTGTTATTTTTTTTTTGAGTTTTCCCGAAGATTTATTGAAGCAGAAACAAGTTGGTCAAATACTTGCTAGAAAAAAAAGCAGTTTTAATGATATTCAAAATACTTTTTAAAAAGTATCCTAGCACAAGATTTTTCTGTAAACTAGATTATGTTGTAAACTTTTTTCTAAATCTTTTAGGAGGGTTGGTTGTTAAGAACTAGAGCCTATTTCTGCCGGGCGCGGTGGCTCAAGCCTGTAATCCCAGCACTTTGGGAGGCCGAGGCAGGTGGATCACGAGGTCAAGAGATCGAGACCATCCTGGTCAACATGGTGAAACCCCGTCTCTACTAAAAATACAAAACATTAGCTGGGCATGGTGGCACGTGCCTGTAATCCCAGCTACTCAGGAGGTTGAGGCAGGAGAATTGCTTGAACCCAGAAGGCAGAGGTTGCGGTGAGCCGAGATCGCGCCATTGCACTCCAGCCTGGGTAACAAGAGTGAAACTCTGTCTCAAAAAAAAAAAAAAAAAAATAGAGCCTATTTCTATTCCAAATCTATCTTGCGCTCCTGAAAAACTGCAGAAAGGCACTTGAAAGCTGTTTCTTTAAGATATGCATTTTTTTTGTTATTCTTGCTGGTAATATATTGCTCCACTGAGTGTGGGCAATTTTTATTCAAGGTCATCATGATGCTGAGAAGTTTCGTTGATAACCTGTACATCTCTAGTTTCAACCATCTTAATCAGAAGTGTCCTTTTTGAGTGTGTGTCAACCAGAGGGAGTGAATCCAGATTAGTCTCCCTCAGGTTCAGGGAGGAAAAGTTTGGAAGGGGCAGAGAAATCCTGCTCTCCTCGCCTTCCAGCAGCTCCCTGTAGGTGACAATCTCAATGTCAAGGGCCATCTTAACATTGAGCAGGTCTTGGTATTCACGAAGGTGATGAGCCATTTCCTCCTTCATGTTCTTAATCTCATCCTGCAGGCGGCCAATAGTGTCTTGGTAGTTGGCAGCTTCAACAGCAAAGTTCTCTTCTATTTCTCGCATCTGGCATTCCAGGGACTCGTTGGTTCCTTTAAAAGCATCCATTTCACAGGTGAGGGACTGCACCTGTCTCCAATACTCATTGGACTCCTGCTTTGCCTGGCATAGGGCATCATTGTTTCGGTTGGCAGCCTCAGAGAGGTCAGCAAACTTAGACTTGTGCCATTCTTCTGCCTCCTGCAGCTTCTTGGCAGCCACACTTTCATATTGCTGACGTACGTCACGCAGGGTAGCTGTGAGGTCCGGCTTGAAAACATCCACGTCGATCTGGACGTGCTGCTCCTGAATCTGAGCCTGCAGCTCCTGGATTTCCTCTTCGTGTATTTTCTTCAAAAAGGCAATCTCTTCTTGCAAGGATTCCACTTTGCGTTCAAGGTCAAGACGAGCCAGAGACGCAGGGAAAGTATGGTCTGAAAATACATAAAATATATTTTTTTACTAGCAATTATGGCTGACACTTAAGGATAGGAGTTGGATAAAACCTAGAGCCTTAACAAAAAACAAACAAAAAGTAGCCTATATGCACCAGGAAGAAAAACGTTTGGGTGGCATAAAGAATTTTTTCCCTTGCTCTTATGAAAAAACAGACAAATAAAAAAGAGAATTTGTTTCCCTAATAGTTATTTTTTCTAAGATTAAATAACACAATTACTTCTGAAATTTGAAATTATAAAAACAAAATCTCCCATGTGAAAATGTTTTGACAAATAAAGCTAGTGAGCATTAAACAAAACAGGTTATTGTTAGTACTATTTTTACAGAAATTTATATATGTCAACTCCACTATGAAATACCAGGAGAGACCAATAAACTCTCACAAAGATAACAAGCATCCAGTAAATTCAGTAAAACAAATGGTACCCCATTTGTAAAGAATACTGTAAAACTCTAAAAAAAAAAAATCATATGTATATAAAGAAAATTCACTGGGCACAGTGGCTCACACCTGTACTCCCAGCACTTTAGGAGGCTGAGGTGGGCAGATCATCTGAGGTCAGGAGATGGAGACCATCCTGGCCAACATGGTGAAACCCTGTCTCTACTAAAAATACAAAAATTAGCTGGCATGGTGGTGAGTGCCTGTAATCCCAGCTACTCGGGAGGCTGAGGCAGGAGAATTGCTTGAACCCGGGAGGCAGAGGTTGCAGTGAGCGAGATCGTGCCACTGCGCTCCAGCCTGGGTGACACAGCAAGACTCTGTCGCAATTAAAAAAAAAAAAAATTAGCCACAGGTGGTGGTGCATGCCTATAATCCCAGCTACTCAGGAGGCTGAGGCAGGAGAATCACTTGAACCTGGGAGGCAGGGGTTGCAGTGAGCCGAGATTGCACCATTGCACTTGCTCCAGCCTGGGCAAAAGAGCGAACAAAACTCCATCTCAAAAAGAAAAAAGAAAAGAAAATTCTTTAATTAGGTATAATTGAAGGAAAATTTATTTTTAATTAATTTTTAAAAATCCAAATAACATAAACACACTTAGGATAGGTTAGAATTTGGTAATTCATTTACTCTTTTTTTCCCTTATAAATTACCCATTCTTTATAGAAGTGTGAGAAGGGACTAATACAGCATCCTACTGGCCCTCCTCACCCAACTGTTTATCCTGCTTCTTTAATTTCCTCCCTAGGAATCTTGTGGCACACATACGTGGTGATATGGTTCCACCATATCTCATGCCAAGTTGTAGTCCCCAGTGTTAGAAGTCGGGCCTGGTGGGAGATGGTTGCATTATAGGGGCGGATTTCATATGAATGGTTTAACACCATCCCTTTGGTGCTATTCTTGTGGTAGTGAGTTCTTTTGGGATCTGATTGTTTAAAAGAGTGTGGCACCTCCCACCTCACACTTTCTTGTTCCTGCTTCCACCATGTGAGAAGCTGTACTCCCGCTTTCCTTTCCACCATGATTAGAAGCTTCCCAAGGCCTCTCCAGAAGCAAAAGCCACTATGCTTCCTTTACAGCCTGCAAAACCAAGAGCCAATTAAACCTCTTCTCTTTATAAATTACCCAGTCTCAGGAATTTCTTTATTTATATTTATTCCCTGTTTTCCTGCCTTCCCACCTCCAAGCAGAATACAAACTCCATGTGAGCAGTGACTTTATCTTCCCAACTCATGTGCCCCAGCACTCAGAACACTATGGTACAGAGTAAAGGTGCACAATAAATATTTGTTGTGTGAATGAATAAAGGAAATGGTTCAATGTGACTTCGTGTCTAAACTTCAGTATCTTTCAACAGCTATGTTTCTGCTTCTCCAGTATTCTCTGTTTTAGTTATATGGCACTACTTTTCACATTTGCAGATGAAGTTCTGTTTTATTTTTCCTTGTCTCTGCTCTTTGTTTCCTGTATGTGCAACGTCTTCCACAACTGAATCTTTTTTACCTTCCTGTCTGAAAATTCAAATTCAATAATAAAGCATTCCAGGTCAGTCATACTTAATTCTACCTACAAGCTATTACATAATTAAAATTTTTTTTTTACCATAGTACTGTTAATTTTCATTCATTGGACAAATATTTAGCACCTGTGCTTGGCATCACACTACAAAGATAGAAAAAAACCGTAGTGTCAGTCTTTAAGGATCCTGCCATCGAAGGTTGCTGTGATGTCTTGAAATCTGTTGTTTCGGGAAGCCAGTGAGCCGAGGGCCGTGTGGCCCTTTCCTTTCTTCCCAGAGTTCTAGTGTGAGCGTGCGCCTAGAATTGTACATTGTGCTGCAGGGAATATTAGTAATAAAATAACTTGGCTTCCTATGAGAATATAATTTTGGTAATGAAAGCCTGCACAACAAAGATAGAATGTAATGAGTTCGTGTAGGATAAGTAGAAACCAAGTAGTCGTGCTCAGAGAGGTCACAGCAATTCAGAGGACAGTGAATGATTGCAGTAGTTGGGGTAGTTGAGGAAAGGTGTTATTAAGGAGGTGGCTCTTGGACGTCAGGCTGGAGGGGAGCATGTTGTGGTGGGTGAGTGGTGGTATCCTTTTCTTACTGTTCTTGGTGACCTGTGAGGACACTGTGACAGGCAGTCATGCAACTTTACTTATTGGGCCTCAGAAGAGGCCTCCGCATCATTGTGTCTGCAAAGGCATTCTGCCTTATACTCATTCCCAGAGTGGGAATGATGGACACTTTAGGGCTGGGCTGTAAGAGAAGAAAGAGAAAAATGTGGTGCCATTTATGCAGTCTGTTCTTGGGGGCTTCAGAGCCCAGGGGTGAGGCATGGGAATGTGTAAATGAGCTGGAATCTGGCCTTGGCCTGGGTGGACAGAGTGTACCCCTTTGTCCTCTGGCACTGGCACTTGCCAGGGGCTGCTGGGAGGGAGAACATAAGACTTGGGTCTCTCTGTGCCCGAGCTGTCTCCTCCCTTTGGACCAGTAGTTAGTAAGTTCTATTTGGCACAACTTGCCCTTGGAAAAACGTTTCCCCATAGTTCCCAGAGAGCTATATAAGTAGGTGGTTTTGTCCTTTGCTATTAGTGTCTTTGTCAAAAATAAGTCAAATTCAGAATCACTTTAGAATTTTAGAAACATTTTTAAACACAAATCATAATCAAATAAGCCCTTGACTTCCTGTATTGCTTCAAAGCAAGGTCTTATTCTCTCAAT